ATTATAGACCAATAAAATTAACATTTTCATATATTAATAAGAAATTAAAGTCATTTTTTTATTTGATTGAAAAGTAAAATTTTTATTAATTCATAAAAAATAATGAATATGCATAAATTAATTAATAAAGATGTTAATTATAAATATCTTTTTTTCATTCTTTCATTGTGAAAATTGCATCAAATACATTACATTACAAATTTCAATAAATCAATACTACTTTTCATTCAATTTGAAGTAAATGTATTGTTATGTATAATTATTATTGTTTATATTTTGTTTTATACATGTTTATGTATGTAAGTCATTAAGACTTAGAATATGTAAATCTGCCTAATCACTTAATGATTAGGAAAAGTTAGGATGTTTAGGTAATACAAGGAGATTTAGGACTCCTAAAAAGTCAGTGTCTGAGTCCTAGCTAGTCGCTAATCCAAAATAGTTACTATCCAAACTATTTACAATTTGATAATAATTTCGAATACAAAATTTGCAACTACTTTGACTTCTTACTTTTAGTCAAAAATTAATCCTTTAGAAAATTAAAAGAAAAAAATATACAATTAATAGTTTCAATTGTATATTTTTTTCTTTTAATTTTATTCACATTGATTTCAATAAATTATTGCAAAGTCTAATTGCTAATAATTATCTTAATTAAATTCTTTAATATTTCTATATTTTCTATGGTGTTTAAATGTTTAATTGCAGTGAAGATAATTATAGTTTGAATTTGATAAGATTCCGAGATGTGTATCGAAAGGCTCGTTAGAGGTGGAAGATCGTCCGTTTTGTGTGTGTCTTCTTCTACTTCTTGTACTTCTTCCTACGGTTTGAGTCGCTGTTGGTTTTCTTGTTTTCCCGTTTTCCAACGAGATTTATACAGCGGCGATCGCAGATTAGTCGGTATTTGATCAATGCCCGTGATCTGGAACGTTCAAAAAATAGTTTGCACCGCCGCCGCCGCCGCGCGTTATCTTTTCCCGCCTGCACTCTGCTCTTCGTGTATTCTTCGCATTATCTTGCATTATCGTGTTCCACCTGAGCACGGTAACAAGGCTGTCGTCGTCGTATAGTTGTAGTAGTTTGCGGTGGTGGCTTTAGTAGAAGTAGTAGTTGTAGTAGGTACAGCTCGAAAGGAGTTGAAAAAGTTGAAGCAAAGTTAAAAAAAAGAGAAGAGGAAGCACAAAGAGCGGCGGTCGAACAACAGCTTCTTCGTCCTCTTCATCTCCTTTCTTATCTTAACGGCGAGAAGTTTTTTACTAGTTGCACACCTAGAGAACGCTCTCCATAATGTAATGAGTCAATTATCGAGTGGCCATCTGATACGATGCCAAAGGACACTCGCCACTTTATAATTACTCTCCATACTGCCTGCACTACCTTACCTAACTTACTCTTTGCCAGTTTTCCACCGCTACGATCAAGGAATTTACATAAGGGAGATCGGCGGTGGCTGTTGCGGCGTCGCACGATCCGATCGCTTATCTCTTCTCTCTCCTCCTTACCCCACATCTCCATTTCAAAACATCCTTTATCCCTCTTCATCCTATTAATAATGCATTTATTTTTCTTTTCGATCCGTTCCTTTGGATCTTTCGCCGTTTTCGCAAATAATTAGTCACGCTTTCCATCATCATCGCAATTCGATTCATCCCCGGTCGAAATTAGTTTTCGCTACCGAGTTTTGTTCTAAATACGATACCGGTGGATGGCTTAATGACAGGCCGGATAATTGGCTCTTCGCTACCGGAGAGAGAAAGGATTGAAGATGAGATGCGGATGGATGGATGGAAGGATTATTATCCCCCAAACAAATAAATCATATTTTCATCCAACTTTTATCTTTCTCTCTCTCAATAGCACTCGCACACAAACTTCATTTCATCTCAACATCTCTTTGTTCCAAGGCACACTGAATACAGCGTAATTGTAAATCCTTTATGTAAATGGAACTAAATCTTCGTTTTGTAGAAAAGTTTAAATTTGAAAATCGTATATTTTGTAAAGTCGGTTATTGTATCATATCAAAAAATTGGTTCTCTTTTTATGCGGTTTTTATTTCAAGAAGCATTTTTTTAAATAACTATTTTAGGCTATTTTTGACACGTTTTAACACAAATTGGCAAACCATTTCATCGAAAAAGATGATAATTCTGAACGAGCATTCAGAATTGAATTTTTGGATATAAGGAATTGTACAAACAAAAATAGCAAAGTTTAATCACTGATTATATTGTCAAAGGGAAAAAATCAAGTTGCGAAGTTGAGACTAATTTTACTTGTGAAGAATCATTATCTTCAGGACATAGATCTGATATGCTGACTATCTCTTCTAGTGATG